TGTGACCTCCTCTGTACTCGCTCCAACAGCTCCACGTCCCTCTTGTGCTGTTTCCCCAGAGCTGGGTGCAGTTCCCACTGCTAGCAGGGACTGACCCCTACCGATGGGAGCAGAATTTTCTATTACCTGCAGACAATAGAGGGAAGAAATGAATTCATTCCCATCCCCAAAGCAATCTCTGCAGGCGGGTTTTGAGGCAAGTTTCCAACCATTTCCCTTTGAAAGGAGACCACCAAGCAGGCTTTAAAGAATCCTTTATCTTTTTAGCAGCAACATAATGGTGGTGGAAATTTAAACTTCGCCATCAAATATTTATCCTATTACAGTGGCTTAAGTAATTTAAGCTGCTGAAATCAACACCGTGGTTTTATTTTTAATGAGCCCTGTGTAAAACAGCCCCTTCGATCATTGTCAGGTGCGTGAGGAAGAGTTGCATTTACTCAAAGAATTTTTAATCTCCCTCAAGAAACTCTGTTAAATAACGCACAGCACTTAACAAAATGTTACCTGTCACTGGTGGCAAAGCGAGCTAGGGCTGGGCAAGCCTGGCTTTGCTGGGGGTTAACAGAGGAAGGGGGTCTTTGGGGTTGGTTGGGAGCTTCCTGGGGGAGGCTGGCTGTGTTTTAATCTACCTAATGGCAAGAGCAGCCTGGGTCTAGTTCTGGATGGGGCTCAGCCTCGGGGAGCGCAGTGGGTGATGGCAGGGTCAGGATGGGTGGTTCCGCTGCCTGAGGCGGGCGGAGAGCTCACAGCTGGGCTGGGGGAGGTGGGGAAAGGCTGTGTGCCCCCGAGGTCCCTCCGGGCAGGGCAGGACGGGCTGCCCGAGCTGCTGGACCCGGCTCCGGGCAGGGCGACACCGCCGGGGGAACACTGACCCCCAGCGCCCGGCAGCGGGAGGAGCCGAGCCGGGCTGGAGCCGCGGTGCGAACGGAACGGAAGCATCGCGCTGCAGCAGAGCGAGAGGGGGAAGAGTTTGCGTGACCGCAGCTAACGCGGCTGCTAAATGAGGTCCGGAAAAGCTCTCTGTAAGCTGCTGCTGCGCAGCGGCGAGGCTGAGGTGCCGCTGCCCGTGTAATGGGATTCCCGGAGCAGAGGTAACGGTCCCGCGGGATGCTCTGTGCTGGCAGAGATTGACTTTCCTTTGGTGGAACGCTGGAAAAATTGATGCTGCTCAATGCAGCTCAGGGCCTTGGAAGGGAAGGAAAGCTTGGGCAAAGCGGCTGCCTGTTACGGAATCCCAGACTGGTTTGGGTGGGAGGGGACCTTAAAGCTCATCCAGTCTCAACCCCTGCCACGGGCAGGGACCCCTTCCACTGGAGCAGCTTGCTCCAAGCCCCTGCGTCCAACCTGGCCTTGAGCACTGCCAGGGATGGGGCAGGTGCAGCTTCTCTGGGCACCCTGTGCCAGCGCCTCAGCACCCTCACAGGGAAGAGCTTCTGCCTAAGAGCTCAGCTCAGTCTCTCCTCTGGCAGGTTCAAGCCATTCCCTTGTCCTGTTCCTACATTCCTTTGTAAAGCATCCCAGAGATCATTAGGAAAAGTGGGTTTGTGCAGCAGTAGAGGGGGTGGTTGATACCAGCAGGGCCTGGCACTTCCTGCTGGACCTCCTGTAGGAGGTCATGGCCATGCAGCTCTGCAGGCAAGCATCCCAACTCTCTGTATCCTCTCCTTCCAAGGTGTTCCTTAAGGATTTCCATTAATGACTTTCATAGTTTTTCCCCTTGCTGCTCTTTCTTGCAAAGCCTATGTACTCTGCTCAGTTGTGTTAATTAATATATTCAGATACTGGCTTTCTACATTTGTTCTTGATATTAGGAAGAAATCCAAAATAACACTCAAGGAGAGATTTCTCACATGGCAAGAATCTAGTTTCATTACATGTCATAAATTCCTTGCTATTCCCATGTCCCTAGCTCCTCAGTAATGAAAACAAAGGTCTCATTGGTGCAAAGCTGTCCAGGACAGCCACATCAGAGGGTGGCAGACCCCCTTGAATGCTTGGGTTCCAGCTCAGCTATCAACTCATCAGAAACTGAGCCAGGAGACTTTTGGGAGCCCAAACCAGGCCCTTTGCTGCCAATACCTGAGTTGGCACAACACCATCATGGCAGCGAGAACAGCCACTACGAACTTGTGTCCTCAGATTATCCTGGCAGCTCTGGCTGTGCCGAGGAGGGAGGATGCTGCAGCGCGGTCCAGGCAGGGAGCGAGGCTCCCTGTGCCAGCCAGTAGGAAGCGGATCCTCCTCCTGCTTTCTCCCGAGTGCTACTAATGAAGCATTCAGCCCCTTCACTAAAAATAAGGCTCCCAAAGCAGGAAAAGACCAACCGGCGTTCCCGCTGCATGCCTGTTTCCTTTGGTAGACCTCGCGTTCCCCAGTTAACAGGCGCTGTGTTTGCAGGCAGCGCGGGCTTTGGCTGCTGTCCCTGGCATGTCGCTGATAGTTATCCAAATGAACCGGGAGGATTGTAACAGACAGGGACACTGGTGCAAGTGACAGGCGCAGAGACAAGAGCTGCGAGAAGCTAATTTACACATCGAGTTTCACAGCCTGAACCTCCCTTCCTGCTCAATAAGCTCCTCAGCTGCCGCTTTGTACCCGCCAGCAGCTTTCATACAAATAAGGGAGCTCTCAAAATCTTCCTTTTTGCTGCCTGCTTAGACAAGAGATTCTAATAAAAACCCCTCTTAATATTGTTGAAAATAAGTCCTCTTTTATGTGGAAATGTGGGCTTAATGTAAACACTTTGTGCTGCTCTGATTCCCTTGAAGGGCTGCGTGGCTGGGAGCAGTCCCTACGCAGCCTTCCAAGTCGCTCAGGAGGCTCAGCCTGCTGCTGGGATGTGGGCTGCTCTCAGGGGGGGATCTGCGCCCTCGCAGCCCTCTCGGCACTGGGCGACTGTTGTTTTCTCCAAGAGGGATCAGCTGGATTTGGGGAAACGCAGCGGCATCTGCAGTGAGGGAATTGGCACCGCTTTCCCCCTAAATAATGTGGTTATAGGGGAGAATGTGGTGAAGGTAATAGAGGAGGTGTGCAAGGGAGCCCTGTGGCATCTTGGCTTCCCCCATGGAAGTGACCAAGGCCACCCTGCAGCCCCAAGTGCTCGTGGTCCTTCATCTCCACCGCTATGCGCTGCCACACAGTGTCCACACATACATGATGCTGCTGTAGGGCTCAGCCACCTTCCCTCACCACTCCAATCGATTTTACAGAGCATAAAGAATGGGGAACGTACAGCGTTGTGGAAAGTATTTATTAAGATCTTCACCATTTAATTTTCCTTGCTATTTTGAGCTCGTGGAGGAAATTAAACCAACCACCAAGCCTTCCAGCTGCACAAACGCTGTTCTTCAGCCCCTTCTGGCCCTCTCCTCTTTACGAGACAGTGTAAGTTTTCAGTGCCCAATAAAAGCAATCATCTGTATTCCGTGGCTGCAAGCAACAGCACTGGCAGGGAGTGGAGCAAGTCGAGAAGCTTTTGGAGGAGAATACGAATTATCTCGGGCAGGGAACAAAGCACAGAAGGACCCTTGAGCACCAGGAGATACTGCAGAGCAACCCGCCAGGCGCTCTCCAGCGCCGCAGTTTAACCAGGAGACTTTCTGCTTTTGAGCAAAAACCTCTTACTTGAGTATTCCCACAGGGCCGCTCTTGCCACTTAGCTCAGCCATTTAAATGGCTGCTCATGGGTTTTTTAAGGCTGGGATGAGCGGGCAAGCATTTGATCAGCTCAGCTGGCTTGAGGAGCACAGGTGATACTCTCCAACCACTGAGGCTCGTGGCTCCGGAATGAGCAGGACCATTAAAGGCTGCTTTATAACTATAAAGAAACAACCTCCTGCACCCTCAGCTACACAGAATTACAAAAGTCCCCCCAGCGTCCTCAAAGCGTGGAATTAGCAGAGGAGAGCTGTAGTTTAATGTGATGGATGGAGCCCCCGGGGCCGCTGCATCCCTCCTCCATCAGGGCATGTTTCTCACAATGGGCAAGCGCTGCTTTGCCTGATAAAGCAAGTGCAGATAATGACACATTAAATCCAGGTGTTGGGCTGCTTGAGAGCCATGGAATCAATGGGGTTGGAAAAGCCCTTTAAGCTCCTCCAGTCCAACCATTCCCCAGCACTGCCAAGGCCACCCCTAACCCATGGCACTGAAGCCTCGTCTCCATGGGGTGCGAACACTTGCAGGGCCGGTGCCTGCAGCCCTGCCCTGGGCAGCCTGTTCCAATGCCTGAGCACCCTCTGGGGCAGGAATTGTTCCTCAGCTCCATCTAACCCTGCCCTGGTGCAGCTTGAGGCCGGTTCCTCTTGTCCCATCCCTTGTTCCTTGGGAGCAGAGCCCAGCCCCTCCTGGCTCCATCCTCCTGTCAGGCAGTTGGAGGCAGCCATCAGGTCCCCCCTGAGCCTTCTCTTCTCCATCTGAACCCCCCAGGTCCCTCAGCCCTTCCCCATCACCCTTGTGCTCCAGGCCGTGCACCAGCTCCATTGCCCTGCTCTGGCCCCACTCCAGCCCCTCAATGTCTCTCTTGTAGTGAGGGACCAGAGCTGAACACAGGACTCGAGGTGCAGCCTCACCCGTGGGACAGGGGGACAAACACTGCACTCATCTCCTCATCCTCATCCTCAATGAAGATGTTTCTGCCACACGGGAGTCCCTCTGCTATTGGCAGCCCTTGCAGTTAATGAGGGATTTGAGTTACTGACATTATTTGTTCCCTGAAGGCTGTGGAGATGAACTGAGGCGTCTCTGAACAGTGAGACCCTGGCCGCGCATTTCGGAGCGGGCGCAAGCCCTGCTCCAGAAGGAAGGTCTGAACCGTTCATCACCTGTACAGCCAGGAGGCAGAATTGCGCCCCCAGGCAGAAGCCCATTAGGCAGGTTTGGAGGCAAACTCCTGTTTCCAATTTGCTAGTTAATTATTGCCTATTTAACGCCTGGGGCGGGGCGGGGCAGGGCAGGCCCTCTGCGATGCGCTTGGGCTGTGCCCCACTTGCGTCCAGCGGCGACCCGACCTCCTTTGGCCCGCCGCTTCCCCTCCGCAGCCCACCGGCTCCACAAGATGGCGACCGCGGGCTCCTCCGGCCTCCCCAAGATGGCGGCGGGTGGCGCCGCGCGAGGCGGGAGCCCCACGGAGAGCCCCGGCTCGCCTCTCCCGGGGCGGCGGCGGCGGGAGCGGCTTCTCGGGTACTGCGCGGAGGGGTCCCTGGAGGGCCGCAGCCCGGAGGCCGCCTCTGCTGAGCCCGCGGGGGAAGCGTCGCCTCCGGCCCAGAGCCAGCAGCCAGGCCAGGTAAGAGGGTGGCGGCCGGGGCGGGCTGCGGGGCCGGGCGGCAGCGGTGAGGGGGTGCGGGTAATGGTTAACAGCTACAAACGGAGCATCGCCATGAGGGAGTTACCTGGAGAATTCGCGTGAATTCGTCGCCTTTCTTCCTCCCTCTCCGCCTCGTTAACACTCCCGTGATCATACCTGTGTGCTCTGGGGTTTTTTACTGTTTAAAAGCCGGTGGTGGGATGTTAGCCTAGCCATAGCCCGTCCTGCTACATTAATTGCCATCTACAGCAGCCCTAGGAAAACATGGAAACGGTGATTAGCCACATACGGGGCTGGTTTATGCTGTAAGAAGTAACTTGCTCCTGGCGGTGGGCTGTGCCTTAGTGCAGGCTATCTGCTCCTCTTTCCTACTCTTTCTTGTAGTGATGCAGCTGTGCGTCAAGGTGCTGCTCAAGCCCTTCAGTTCCATGTCCAGCCTTGCAGCTAAAGAGATAGGGTGGTTTTCTTTATTTCAGTTAAGCTTTAGGATCTTATCCCTTCTTCTACCGGTGCTCTTCACAGAAAGCAGCTGAGAGACAGCCCTCAAAGAGGCTAAAAACTGAACATCCCAGTCCAGTGGAATTTGAGCTAGAATTTCTACGTAGAAGTAGCGTCCTTTCTGCGTATGTGCAGATGCTTCCAACAGCGGATGAGGATCAATGGTCAGAGGATTCAGGAGACCATGATGTAATTCAACAGCAAAAAGGTGAAAGCATTCCAGAGGCTAATAGAGAGGAACAGGAAGAGGAGCATAAAGCGTCTCCCAAGGCACATGCGGTGAAATCAAGCGATGCTGCCTCAGCTGCCTCAGAAACGGAGAGTGGTGAAGATGCGTGTGGTTGTGTCTGCAGTGAAGAGGGCAGCTGTGAGAGTGCCCTTTCCGATGGGTCTGGCTCGGAGGACACTGCTCTCCCAACGAAGCCGATGCGCCTGGACAGCAGCGCCTTCTTGGATGAGGACAGCAACCAGCCGATGCCCATGGACCGGTTCTTTGGAGATGTGGAGGTGAGATGATGACCGACTCTGTTCCGTGATGAGGTGATGCTCAGCTCTGTTCCACTCAAGTCCCACAGCTGCAAATTAAATTAGGCAGGACTCATAATTGTAGTTATCTGGCATCATATCCCTGTCCCGTAGATAGAACTGCCTTGATCAGAGCTGGAAGTAATTGCCCAGCCAGATTAATTTCAAATGTAAAATCTTTCATATTAAATTATTTAGTCCAGTTCTATAAGACAGGTATTTTTACTCCCAAAGACATACATAGCTGTACTATGGAAACATGGTGTTAATCGTCACAGTGTTTTCTCACTGTGTGTTGGTTCCTGGTGTATCTGATATGGCAGGATGTGAACCTTTGGGGAGGCGGGAGGTCTGCCATTTGCCACAACAGACTTTCCTCACTGCTTTTATCCTTTCTTTAAAGGATCTCCCAGCAGTTGCTCTCCCAAGCACAACGATGAGCAGGCGAGAACTCCGAAAGCTCCATTTCATTGCAAAGGAAGAGGAGGAGGAGGAGGAGGAGGAGGAGGAAGAGGATGTTGTCTAACAGCAAAGTGTAAATAACCCCTTTCTCATTGCAACCACGTGATGCTGGTTGGCTGTTGCTAACATAAGGTGTCTGCGTTTGCCTTTTCTCAGAGAGAGAGGTGGTGGTTTGTTTTCCTGGAGTTGGCAGATACAGGATTCTCCCACAGTTGTCTGGGGCTAAGATTGACTGAATTGTCAGTGATTTGGAAAGAAATTCTAAGTTAGCGTTTTGCCACTAATGTTTAGGAAAAAACCTGGGAAAATGGAAGCTCTCAGAGCTTGCTTATGGTTTTGGGGCCCTGCCTAGGGTGAACACTTGGTCTCACTCCTTTTTCAGAAATAGCCAATGAAACCAGGTTAGAACAAGTTCCTTTTGCTATCCATTCTATGGTGTCTGCCTTTGTGGCATCCTGTTAGTAATGCAGCCAGTTGACTCCCCAGAACCAAGAGGGACACCTCTGTTGTGTGTGCTGCACTGTTTGTATCTAAACCAGAACCAGTTAAACCTCTGAAATGTTGTTCTGTTGGTAAAGCTAAATACATGGATTTGGTGTGAGGGCAGTGATGGTAATCTCTGGAAGTCAAGTAGTTGTTATTGCATGTCAGTTCTCTTAATAACCACCACATGGAGCTGGCTGCCTCCCTCTTCCACTAGAGCAGCTGTGAGCAGTGCCTGTGGCAACATAGGCAGTATTTTCAGTTGACTTCCCAGGGTTAGGAATAGGGATTTTGTACACAAATGCATCAGTGGTGATAAAGGAGGAATAAAACTGCTCAGTGTGAGGCTGGATCTGTAGGTGAGTGAGTATTGCCCATTAAGGATGGGGGGCAGCCCACCACATTTGTTGTTCTAGCCTACATTTGTACCCAGTAATGAGTAATTTCAGATGGTTTGGGAACTGTGAACTCCCCCAGTGTTTATGATAATACATCTTTGAAAGGTTGATTATGTGATAAGCTCCCAGATCTTTATTGTTACAGTTTCTTCTCCTTTTCTGTAAAATATAGAGAAAATGTTATCAGCAGATGGTTTAAATAAATATTAATTTCTACAGCTACAGCCTGTTAAACATTCAAAAGTTGTAAGTCAAACAAATTGTATATGCATGACATGTTAATTTATTCACATTTCCACTCCAGCTGATGCATTGTTTCTGTCAACGATATTTCTTGGCTCCTTTTCACTCTTAATTCTTTAACACAGAAAAATCTAATTTTTTAATAGCATATTCATGGTTCTCAGCACAACTCCAGCTTGAAGCAGCTCTCCCACCCTTCCTTAAATGCTTTATTTGCTGCTGTCTCTTTCTAGCAAATACGGCTTCGCACACAGACATTTGGGGTTGTTTCAGCACTGTGCAAAACAGTGATTCTCAGTTTGTAGGAAGTGCACCGTACAGACGACAACTGTTTTGTCATCAGGGGCTTAGCTGTGATGCCATCCCAATGTCAAACCAGTGCAGTGAGTGTTTGTATTTTGGGTACCAGTGATGTGTAGTCAGTAAGGCGATATGGAAGGATCGATTAAGTGCACTGGTGTTAAAAATTCTGTATTTAAAATGCTCCTACTTAAATTTTATATTGAAATGTTTGAGGGGGCTGAGTTGCTGTTTGCAGCTTGCTACTCTCTGTAGTAAAGCTCCTGCATTTCCAAGACATAGTAGGTCACGGATCACCCATCAGTTACACCTCTACACTGTTCTGTGTGGACTAGCTTGGGTTTACTCAGGTAGAGAAGATGACCAACAATATGGGGGGAAAGAGAGTGAAGTTATTCACAGTCAGCAGCTAGTGCTCTACTAGCAATCTCCCTGTGCTCAGCCTTTCCATCCTGAATTGCCATGCCATGTTACACCTCATTAACCACTCCTGCTCCTCTGCCTCCACATAAGCACACAGGAAAATGGTGTCACTTTTTTAATTTGAAGAAATTCCCATCATTTACACTGACAGTCCCTGTAAGTTCAGTTGCTGTCAGCTGGTATTTAAAAAATCAAGTAAAAATGGATCCATTCCTGTTTTGTTACCTGAGGTAGGAAGTGTTTTACAAAGGCAGTATTCTCTGGAGCACCAGGTAAAACTGATTATGCAGTTATTTTCCTTGTTGCTTCAAGTAAACTCAAGCTACAGAGGCAGAAACCGAAAGAATAGAGAAACCAGTGGGGAAGATGGTAAAGAACCAAGGTGGCAGAAGCAAAGATGTGCCATGGGCCTTGCTCTTCAGCAGCAGAGTGGTCATGCATGAGCGTGGGTGTTTCAGCACAGAAGAGCCAGCAGCTTTGTCACTGAACCACCCTTTAGCACACCTGAAACACAGTGGTTATCACCTGGAAAAGGCATGGAGCAGAATAGTTATCCTAAAGTACTCTGCTTGGCTTAAAGTTCAGAGACATGCACTTCTAGTATTAGTTTTCTGGACCTATGTTTGTCATGGCTAGAGAGGCAGTAGAGCTTAATCCCTGTCAGCCTCTGGCCTCAGTTTTATACTGACTTGCATCTGTATTTTAACAGTGTGATGGAAGGCAGGCTTGAAGTGAGAAAGCAGGAGAGCAGAATTACGCATGAGGTACCTGTATGCTTTGTGAGATGGCAGCTGAATTACTTGGCAAGTCCCTTTTGGCAGGGACTCTGAAATAAGTCCTTTAGCAAACTAGAGCTGTTTAAAACCAACACGATTTTGAAGGAAGCAGAAGTCACTTCCAGAGATGCACTATCAAATCCTGTGATTGTGCTTTCTTCTGTAAATTTTAGTTTTGTCACAGCTGAGGTTATGATTGGTTTTCTTATGGCAAGCAATATGTACAAGTTTTAAATTATCCACAGTAAACAGCAGCTGATAGAAGTATTCCCAGTTCACTTCCCTTCCATCTTGTGTTTTGACAGCTTCTGCCAGTTCTGGGACAACAGCACGTTTCTTCTCTATTCTTCAGTGCACAAAAGAGAAAACAATATTGCTGTTAAAGGCTTTTTTTCATAATAACTGAGCATCCATCTTCATTTCAGAGGCAGGCAGTATGTGAATTCCTTCACTGTAACTAGGCTTCCCAACCCGAGGAAATATAGCACATCCCATTTGCTTTACGACTGCACAATGCCTGAAAAGAGGCCTGGAGTTTGCCAGAGGAGTCCCCACAAAGGGGAATGCAGTGAGGAGGGGTATGTTCTGTACAAGAAAAATCTGAACAGAAGCAAAGCAGCTAATGAGAGACAGCATTATCATCTGCCTTCAGGATTTTATGTCATGAGAAGCAGCTGCAGCACCCAAGCATCTTTTATCACAGTGCATTCCTCATGGCAGAGCTAACTGCACAGTGGGGTGAGTAAAGACTCTGGCTATTCTTTTCCTGCCTGAGATGAAGGGCAGCTTGGATTAATACTTTGTACATACATGTGATCGAGATTCCAGGTACTGAAGAGGATTCTGCTCTCCCTGTTACTGTAGGGGTTGATGGAATGCTTACACGGGCAGTCATCTCTGTCGAAGGGTCCCTATAAAACAAGAGGGTGCCCTGCTCATCATGACTGACTCAAGATAGATCACCCACACCATTGCCCTGCCTGGATCAATATCGTACTGTGCACACATCCAGCTAACTCTTTTCTTCCTCTGCTGTAAGTCAGAGTGCTGCTTGCTGGAACCAAGACTCTGCTTTAGAAAGGGCTGAACTCACCTGACAAGAGAACCACCCCTCTGTGGTGCACAGGCGGGCTGCTTCCTCCTCCTCCCTTCTGTCAAAGTAGCATCCATTGTATTTCACAGATTTCAGTTTATCTGCCATCATGTCAATGATCCTTTTATACTCGTCTCTTGCTGTAGGATGAACATTTGAAATAAAGCTGCTAACCTAGAGAAGGGAAAAACCCCAAACCAATTATTCCTTGGTGCCTGTAGCAGCCTGAAGCTCTTTTCTACAATCACTATGACATACTATAGAAGTCTTTCATAGGTGATCACAGAATTAACTTGCATCTTGAAAATAAGCTACTTCAACAGAACCTTTTACCTCTTTCATGTAGCTCCGTATTCTGCTTTCACAACTGTATCGCATGTAGCTTGACTTGTTCTTAAAGCGAGACTCTAGACCTAAAGGGAGTTAAGTGTGTTGTATCTTAGTTACGCTTAGTGCAGGGCTTCTGCCTTCCCCCTTCCTTCCAAACTCCCTATGTTCAGATGTTTTCGTTCCTATTTTTACTTTACTGGGTCAGGACTACCCTGCTCTTAGCATTTAAAAGCCCACTCAGAGCACCAGCTCTGAGAGCAGTAGCCGATGTTACAGTTGTTACTTGCTAAAGAGATTGTGAAAAGAAAGCAATTGTTAGGAAGAACCACAACAACGACTTGGGAAGAGGAAGGGCAGCTTGTGAAGGGGGGTGAAAGAAAATGTAAAGGAAGGTTAGCTGGTACCTGCAATTAGGATGCTAGTAGCAAATCCTTAACAGATTGTAAATGCACACCTGTACTAATGGGGAAAACAACGTATTCCAGATGCTCTGTTGGACAGAGCAACAGGGAACACTGGAGTAGTTTTAACCATTTTCTGATGCTGAATATGCATATACTGTACAGAAACCTTGAAATGTGATCACTCCTCCCCTGACAGGGTACCAAACCGCTCCAGCCAGAATTGCTCCCACGTTTTTAAGCTATGATAGAATTATTCTACTTCAGGAACAGCAGGACTGACAGAAGTGAGTGTCTCCAGCCGGAGCCCCACGGCAGCTCCCTGCCGTCACCGGACGCACCTTCAAACCACTTCTCATCCTCTTCCTTGTCCTCGGCCAGGATGTTCTCGCTCAGGTTGTGGATGAGATCCGCCAGCAGCCTCTGCCTCCTGGGAGCCCGCTCATCGCTGAGCAGCTTCCGAGCGGCCTCCACCACGGCCTCCCGCTGGCTGCAGAAGGCGGCGAGGAACCGCTCGATATCGCTGGCACCTGCGATAAGGACGAAGCGGCGCCGGCTGAGCGGCCGGTCCCCGGCACTACCCCACCGCCCGGCCGCGGTGTACTCACAGCCATGCCACGTCTCCCCGGGTCCCAGCAGCACCAGCTCGGTCTGCGGCGGCAGGGCGCGGAAGTAGCCCTCGGTCAGCTCCGTCCCGTCCTCATAGAGACAGAGGCGGCTGCCTGGCAAGGGAAGCTGCCCCGCGGGCGGGTGAGGCCGGGCGGGACCAAAGCCCCTCGCCGCGGCCCCCGGCCCGCACCTGCAGCAGCCGGCAGCTCTTCCGGAGCAGCCCGCGCAGGCTCCCGGCCGCCACCCCGAACTTCTGCGGGGCGCAGCGCCCGCGCACCCGGAAAGCGCGCAGCGGCTCCGCCATGCCCGGCTGCGGCCTCCGCCGCGCAGGCGCCCCGAGTGCAGGAGACGGCTCCGGCCCGGCCCGGCCCGGCAGGACGCGCATGCGCGGCTTTGAGGCGGCGTTGCCATGAGAGCCGGCGGTGGGATCGCGCTGAGGCAAGTGGGGCCTGCTCCGGCCTGGCCGCTTCTCCCTTGCTCCTCCCGCTCCCTTCGGCCGGGCAGAGCCAACCCCGAGGGCCCCGCGGCTTTGTCCGCGGTCCGGCCGTTCCCCTGAGCCGGCGGGGAGCCGCCGCGGCCTGTGCTGCAGCGGCCGGGGGTAGCGGGAAGAGGAGGAGGAGGAGGAGGGAGGGGGCCGAAATTGGTGCGGTACCGAGGGTAGGGCTAGCGGTGGTCTCTGGTGTTTGTGTTTCCCGTTGTTCCTTCCCTGTGCCGTCCCAGCTGTGGAAAGGTGCTAAATTGACCCAGTTCCTCATTATTGCTTAATTTATAACTTTGGCTGTTACACGAGTTACCTAGCCCCTCGTTAAGTGCAAGCCGAATGCTCAGCATGAGAACATGGTGTGGTTTATGGTGCTGATATGATAAAGAAAACTTAGATTTGCCATCATCATCTGCTGACTTGACGGCCCATGGGACTTAATTCTTTGACTGCAGCGTTTCAGTGTTCTTTTGCCTTTCCAGGGATTACCTTAAGCTTGAAACACCGTGGCTTTGACTGGCTCACCTCTGCAGAATGCCCCACAAGATCGGGTTTATAGTTGTTAGTTCATCAGGACACGAAGATGGCTTCAGCGCGAAGGAGCTGATGGTTCACGCACCGATAGTGAATGGATGGCGATCACCCAGGTATCTCAAGGAGTTGGGACATGCATGCACTGGGTTTAAAGTAAGCAGATGATGTACTGTGTCAGGGTAGTCACAGCATCCCAGGCCAAAGTGATGGTAAACCCACCAAAAGAAGTTACTTTAATCCTGTGGAATCCTTATCTTGGAGGGAAAAAAGTGCCTTAGTTACCACCTAAAGGCATCACATTGCATTAAAGAAAGGTTCTTTGAAAGAAGGAAAGGAAATTGTTTGTATTCTTGTCAGTTTTGGAGTTGGCAACTGCTTTGGCTTAGTATTAAAAATCTAGTCTTCTCAGCATATTCTCTAGGCATGTATGGACACCTGAACACACACATGCATGCAGTGAAGTGAAAAGTTTCTCCTCCTTGGTTTCTTTTCATGATATTTGCAATGCTGATGTAAGTGATAATAACGTTGGAAAGCTTTGTAATTGTTACTCAAGTTGGAAGTGAAATAGTCTATAAAAGGATGATTCAGAAATCGTGTGTGTTTTCAGACACTGTCAGTATCCGCAGGAAATTGTTCTGCAGTTGGTAGAGAGATGTCGAATACGAAAGCTGCAGTTGCTTGCTCACCAGTACATGATTTCAAGCAAAATTGAGTTCTACATCAGCGAAAGCTTGCCTGAATACTTTGCTCCTTATCAGTCAGAGAGATTTCACAGACTAGGGTAAGTAAAACAGCTCTAAATGGTTTTATTACCTTAACCAAAATGTCTTCAGGAGGAAATAATGTGCAATAATATGACTACAGCATGCTGGAAGCGGCAAAGAGATTCTGTATTTGCTTAGGTGGGTAACAGAGCTGAAGATATAGGTGTAAGAGACATGAATAGTATTGTCAGGTCACAGCACATGTTTCACTTAGGAGTTTTAAACCTTAGCAACATCCTCACCTGAGGAGCAAAGATGCAGTTCTGTATTTGTATGGTTCCTCTGCTTACTTGTTGCATTTTCCTTCTCAGTTATGTTCCTCTCTCAGACAATGAAAAGACTGATTTCAAAGCACGAGAGTTAAAGTCTGTGTACATGGATGCAGTTGGCCAGTACTTGAAGCTGATTTTCCATAAAAATTATGCCAATAAATACAACCTATATGGTCAGGTGAGTTACAAGTCCTTACTTGGTAAGCTAGATGACACTTCAGTAGTACAGAATAGGCAATGAAATCTGCTCCCTTGAATTACAGGAGCTAAAAATGTCAGTGGGATTTATATTTGGTTTCTTTTAACCAGCAAATACAAATAAGAGGTTCTAAGTGACTTGGAATCATGACCAAGTGCATGCAACTTATCCAGAACAAGCAAGTCAAGTGCCCATTCCATTACTGCCTTTTGTCCTGAGTTGCAGACAGCACCTGAAGCTCTGCTCTGAGGACAAAGGGCTTCCTCTGAAAACGGCTTTCTGGTCCTTACAAAGGCACTCTTAGTCTATAGGATCTGAGATGATGTTAAGTGAAGGTATTATACAGCCACCCTGATACAGAAACAGCAAATACCTACCTCAGTTCTACAGCGAGTCTCTTCCCTTTCATCCCAGACCAGGAAAGGGAGCAATGATGGCTGTGCAATGTGGTCTGGAGACTTGATAATAAATTTTTAATGGAGCATGAAGTACATTTGGCACTTAGTGCTGTTCTTTGCTTCCATATCACTCTGGAGACCACCAGCTCTATTTTTTGTCTTTTTGTTCCACTTTTTTTGTTTCAGTTTTCATAAGATATTGAAAAAGTAATGACCTTATGCATTTACATTTGCTTTAAATCTATCCCAGGTCGCCCTAGTAGCTATAAACATTATTGGAGATCCAGCAGACTACAGTAATGACAGCACTAACAGTGTAAGTGCAAAGCAGCCCTGTCTTTTCACTGTTGCTACACGTGTTCAGTTACAGGGTTCCTGGGGTAATGGAGTGCATCTTTCTTCTGCTGGTTTTGTGCTGTAGCACAGCTGCCACGTGTTAATTATTTATTTTCTTTAATGTTTTAATGATGTTCTCAAGAATGGAGCCTAATATGTGGGTATTAAAAATACAGTCATTTGGAACATTTGCACTTCCAGCCTGCCCAAATTCTCTTGTCTCAGGATAACCCTAACCATAAACAAGGGTTATAATTTACATTGCTTATGTCAATTGTGGCAAGTCAGAATCTCTGTCCTGAGCATGCACTTGGTGTTGATGAATGCACACTAAGATATTTCTTCTTTCCCCTTGCAAAGCCTTCCAGGGAGAAGCTGATAGATCAGTACTTAGGAATTAAATCGGATGATCCTGCTTTAGATGGAACTTACTTCGGGTAAGGATGTTCTTTTGTGTATGCCCTTGCAAAACATCTGCTTGGACTAAAGTAGTTCTCGGTCCCTCTGTTTTGTTAGTTCCCTGCTAGTGGAAAGAGAAGATATACACTCAGCCTGGCTTATTTGGGATGAACTGAAAGTTTAGTTTATTCCTTATATATCTTCAGGAAACACGACTCCATTTCACCTCTGGATGATCTGGCTTTTGACATGTACCAGGATCCAGAAGTTGCTCAGATAATACGTAGACTAGATGAGAAGAAGCGGGGAGCTGTCCATCACGAGCACTATGATTATGCCAAGAAACTCAAACAAGCTATTGCAGACCTGCAGAAGGTATTATGGAAAAGCTCTTTGTCTCTTAAGCCAAACAGTACTCCAGCAGCCCATTGGAGACCCTTGTGTTCATGTGGAATCATCATGATTTCCAGTATATTTTTAAAGAGTAATTCTAAGAACAGATAGTTTAGTTGAATAACTTTAATACAGGTACAGTAATGTGATTCCAAACTAGCCTGCTATGCTGTCTGCTAGGTAGGGGAAAGACTTGGGAGGTATGAGGTGGAGAAGCGCTGTGCTGTGGAGAAAGAGGATTATGATCTTGCTAAAAAGAAGAAACAGCAAATGGAAGCATATCGCCTGAAGGTGTATCAGCAGCTGGAGCTCCATGACCTGCTGGATGCAGAGCTGATGGTGGGTACTGCTATTCCTAATTCAGGAGGCTTGTGTAAAGAGAAGTGGGAGAGCAGCCTAATAGATTCAAAGAATAAGAGTTGGTACATTGACATTTTATGACAATTAGGTGAGGATTTTAAGTTTTCTATGTGGATTTCCCTAACCAAAGACTTGCATTTTATGAACATGATTAACTCTCCATAAACTGCATTACATTGGACTGTTGAGGTCTCAAGCAAATGACATAAGAATCATGAATGTTTTGCAGAATTTGAGGGCTACCTGATGCAGATGAGTAAGAAACTGTCATATTTTGAAGGGGTGTAAGAGGCTTGTGCTGGCATCGAGGCTGACCAGACAGAATTACTGTGATAAGATACATATAGTTTTATATTGTTCTTGCAACAGGAAGCTTTATCATCTCCTGACACGCGTCCACACAGAATTATTTCCTGATCCACGAAGCTGCATCCAGTGGAAATGATTACACATCTCTGAGTGGGGTCTGACAATTACCTGAAAGCAGGAGAATCTTGGTGGCTGTCAGAGCTGGGGCTGTGCCAACTCTGATTTTAGGACATTGTAAGCCTTGCTTTGCAAAATCTTCCTTTTCTAGATTAAAAAACCATCTGAATTGCCTTTGGAGCCTATAACTCACACTGACAATCTTCAGCCCAACAAACGTGCAACTTCACCTCCTTGTGAGCATGCAGAGCCCCCTAAAGGAGAGTCGTGGAGAGCAGAGCCTCTGCTGGAAGAGAGGTCAGCAGATCCTGCTTCTGCTGAGCCTGTTGTTCTCCATCAGTCCCCTCCTCCTCCTGAGACTCATCCCACAACCTCTAGGGAAGTGTTTCCCAAAGAAAATGTGAGTAGTGAACCTCTGTTACTATAGAAATCTGTTAGAGCAAGGGGTTGAGCATTCAGCCTTCAAAACAAGGGCTTTGTGGTTATTCTCATGGCTTATACATTACTGGAAATCAACCCTGCTAATTGGCAATGGTCTTCTCTGTTCCTTAATTTCTTTGGAAGCTTTTGGAAATGTTCATCAAGATTGAGGCAAAAAGGCATTGATTATATCTGATTTACAAACAGATGACTGGAAGCTAATAGACATTAAATGACTGTTCAGGGATTGTGTGTCCAATACAGTGGAAGCTGAATTCTGCTAGCTCCATTAGTGGCTTAATAAATCTCCTTCTGAGAGATCAGGTCAGGTGAATCTACAGTACCAAGGGAATTTGTTGGAATGTGGTTGTGGAATAAGAGTCTTGGTGTTGTGTTTAAGGAGAGGAAGAAAATCACAGTGTCTGGTTAGCTTAATCTTTAGGTTTTGCTGCTCCTGCTTTTGGCAAAGCTAAGGAAGACTTGTGTTGTCTGTAGTAGCAGCAGTATTTGCTCTTACCAGGATATTGACTTAGTTAACAAATAAAGCTTTATGACTTGCTGGCTTCCTATCAGGAGGTGATTTCTTCTGTACGTGCATGCATTTCCACAAAAGACATTTTGTGTGTTATTGTACTCTGTAGATGAGAAATAAGTTTCATACACAGGCACTGATTCCATTTCTTCATGATGTTTTTATGGGAACTACAACACCTGGATGTAATTGTAAAGCAATACTGCTTTAATGGGGGAAAAATGCATTGAAATCAAGTCAATTTGTGATGAAACAACTTAACATCTAAGTCATTTCTAGAACAGCAACTTTTATCTTCTTTGTTACGTTCAGTTTTTACCATATGATGAGACACCTCTTCCAGCCATCCGGAAACAATCTGATGGAGCCATCGCGTACCTTGAGCCGGGGATGGCTGAAGAGTATATTGATGATACTCCAAGAAGTAGCGTTACTGGGGAACCAGAACCATTAAGTGAGAAGGCACTGAGGGAGGCCAGCCCCACTGTTGAAGTGTTTGGAGAAGCTTTGGTAAAGAACACCAAAATAAGCCCATAGATTACTGTGATCTGTGTGGAGTTGATTTGATACACACTCTGTCAGCAAACACCTACTGATGTTCACTTGTTCAGAGCTGTTACTTGAAAATCTGAGGTTAAAAGTTGACCTTGGACGTACGGGTGCCTGTTTGCAATGTTTGTATGGTGCTGTAGCTTTTATGATTGATTACTTGGTGTGCTATTAAGCAGATAGTATGTGGTAGACTGCTTTTGGGTATGGACCCTATCAGAATACCCATAACTTGCCATTGTCTATTGTAGGGAGAGAAGCCATTGCTGTGCAGGAAACGAATGCTTGAGCCTGACTTGTTAATCCATTTCCCACATAGTTTCTCAAATATCTGAGCTTTTAATAAAAGCCAGATTCCTGTTGGAAACACCTGGGGACTTCAGGCTGAAGTTCATGTGTTCTTTTGAGGCAGTTTCTGTATATTAATGTTGAGTAAATATTGAAATATCAGCACTGACATTTTAAGAGATTAACTTGTTCTGTGCTTAGGTTTCAGGAGCATTTTCCAAAACCTGGTCATATCGAGAAGATGCATTGCTTGCTGTGTATAAGAAGCTGATGGAAGTGTCAATGACCACTCCAAAGGAGGACTTAAAGAACATGCTGAGGGCTGCTATTTTCCTTGTGAGGAGAGCCATCAAAGACATAGTGCCTTCGGTACGTTGTGATTTATTGGGTAAGCAATACTCCAGTGCAGATCTAGCAGCCAAAATTGTAGAACCATGTGGTTAAGATGCTTTGAACAAATAGTTTGTAAAACTACTGTTAAGTAAGTTTAAACTAAAACCAACAAGCAAACAAGCCCATCCAAACCCCCCAGACAAGTGGAATATCAGTTTTTAGTTGGGCCCTAGGACTGGGCAATGTCTGTCATTCAGCAGCACAGAAAATAGTGCCCTGGGCTGGGTAATGAGCTTGAGGAGCTACTGCTGCTACAATAAATGTGTAGTGTGGTTGATCCTGTTTGTTTTTATCAAGTTGAAATAGAGCAATGAAGTAACCGCTGGTTTCCAACCTGAGAGAATGCAGTCAGCCTAAGGAGCCTTAGGCTTCAAATAAATCTTAAACAAGAAGAAGAGAAAAAACTCAAGAGCTGTGTTTCTCTTTATAAGAAGCCTTTCACCTAAGCCCTAGCAAGATGTTTTCTGGGAGAGAGGTATCTGAAGTAGCTTCTATTAGGGGTGTCACTGTAATTCTAGGCTCCTGTTGCTGCTGTTCTTTAGTACGGAGAAGAGTCTTCAATGCTGTCTGAACACTGGGATCTCTGTGCTATTTTTGGTCACTGTTTTCTTGTTCTTTTTAACTCAGGTTTTTCAAGCGTCCCTGAAACTTCTAAAAATGATCATTACCCAGTATATACCGAAACATAAACTGGGAAAGCTGGAGACTTCTCATTGTGTGGAAAAAACGCTGCCAAATTTGCTTTCTAGAACAGGAGAACGTTCATCTCGTCTTCGACTTGTGGCTTATAACTTCATTCAGGTAAGTGTTTTACATCAAATTATGGTTTGACTTGCATTAAGAATTTCACAGGGCTCACAGGTAGGTAGGTAGGTAACATCTAACCAGGCCTGACTTTGAGACCAGTTTGCTGCTGTGAAGGATGATGTCGAATATGGAAGGCAAAGTGGTAAAACCAACTTGGCATCTTTGCAGTGTGTTTTCCAGCTGTTTATGTCCAGCAATGTCAGGACTTTGTATCCTCTGTAACATTTCTTGTCTACCTTTTCATATAGCTCAGTGTAAGATCAGCTCTTGAAACGTTTCTCATGGTCCAGTTCTATAACTCATCTGAGCATGTCTAAGACTTTATTGATTTCTCAGTAGCTTTCTCCCTGCTGCCAAAAGTGAAACCAAACCTGGGATAATCTTCTCTTTAAAACCTTTGCAAGCAGCTTCTCGCTGCTAAAGTAACAAATAAGCAGCTACTTCTTATGGAAGACTTATTTTATTTTACTTATTACAAGTAACTTAGAATATACCTCTATTTTGCAAAGACAGTTAACTTCCCTCGTTCAGGATTCCTACATGCACGCTGCCTCTCTGCATGTTTCTAGGAAATGGCACTGTGCAGTGAGGTCAGACCTCTTCAGATTGTTCCAGTTCATTTGGTTCAGCCGTTAAAACCCAACTCTGCAACACATCTGGCAATGAGTCAAGTGGAATTAGTGCAATGCCTCTTGAAAGACATGGGAACTGAAAACTCCGGATTTACCATCAGCAATGTCATGGAGGTAGGAGCCTGAGCTTACAGCACAGGAAGCTTTTTCTGTTGCTGTCTTATTGGGGCTGCCTGTTTTGGAGTGGTTGGTGGATTACTGAAGAGAATTTGAGCCTCTTGGAGGTGACAACACACAATCCTGTGAGGAAGCAAGATGCCAATATGGGGAAAAAGAATCACTGTGTCAGAAAGTGTTTGTAAAAACCTATTTGCTTGAAGATTTCTGCCACTGCAGTGAAATAATAGACTAATAAAGAAGTCCTTAAAAAATGTGGGGAAATAGAGCCTTATTATTATTATGTTCAGTTTGCAACAGGAGCTTTGGAACACCGAGTTTCTGAAGTCCGTGATGTGGCATTGCAGATTATCTTTGACATGTACAGGAAGCACAGGGCTGCTGTACTGGAATATCTGCCTCCAGATGATGCAACCATTCGTAAGACTGTTCTCTATAAAACACTCTTTGATGGATTCAGCAAAATAGATGGAAAACTTTCTGAAGCTGAAATCAGGGTACGTAATCAGATTGCAGACCCACATAGCTATTTTAAACATTGCATCCAACTGAGCAAAATACTGATTTCCCAGCTCTATTAGGCACTGGATGACACACGTAGCAGAGCATCATAAGGTGTGCTGTTAACAGATTGTACTACCCACTATAGTAGTAGTGCTACCTTTCAGGTAGGACAGAGGAATTCAGGGGGAAGGAGGTTTTGCTGTAGCAACATTTAACCGTGACGGATATTTCTTGCTGCATTGCCCATTTGTTCCACACTGATGTGTTTTGCAGTCTCTTCTGTATGAGAGATGGTTCAAAATCTTTTGTAACTGAAAGACTGTTTCTTGACAGGCACAGAGAAAGGCATCAAGAGAAGAAGCAGAGAAACAGAAGAAGGAAGAAATGAAGGTTCTGCAAGGTCAGCTGGCAAAGGAGATGCAAGCAAAAGATCAAGCTGGAAAGGTGAGGGTGGTTTGGTTTTGCCTCAGTACCTGAGAGATTTGCTGTAGGAGCAGAAGCACAAACGTTGTAATGCATTGGCTCTGCTTCTAAGCTTTTAATGACAGAGAAAAATCAGGATATAATGTGTTCTTCCTGGCAAGCATCACAGTCATTAAGTACATTTCTGACTTAAATTTCTTTGTTCAATAGGAGAAAGACTCTGACTTGCCGAAGCTAAAAGCTCAAGGTAGGTGGTTTTAAATACTGTTAAGAAATGTGCAGATGTTTCAAAGTGTTAAGAAATGTGAAGATACTTCAAGATGTCTCTGAAACACAATTGTCTTATTTAAAAACATGCCAGAGTGCTTCAGATTGGCTGAGTCTCAACCTGCCACAAAGGAAATCAGTAAATTCACGGAAGAAAAATTGCCACCACCTAGCCAGTTAATTTCTAATAACAATTAATATGGCTTGAAACCACTTTAGATTTCTCCCCAACCTGAGGGAGATCATCTACTACATGTAAAAATCACCACTGGAATATTTTACTGTTGTAAATGACTGAAGCAGTAGTTTCCCCATTGCCCGCAGGTACATTGGCTTTTGGTGCTTGTTACCAGGATGGTGATGGTGTGCTTCTGCTGTTTTTGCTGGGAAGATGCAGAGAAACAATATTTCTAGGCATGCAAGAAAGTGAATTAAAATGTGATTTTGGTTTTAATAGTTCTCTTTTTACAGGTTATCAGGTAAAGGAAAGCCCACAGTCTGCAACAGTGGAGATTCCAGACAGTCATTCCTCTGTTGCAGATTACTCGGATAAGTAAGTTAGATGAGCAGCTTCCAATCACCTTAAGCACTTGGTATAACCTGCAAGCTAATAATGTTTTTCCAGTGGATCAAAGATGTATTGTAGCTGTCGTGTGTAGTGTAGGATATAAGGGCTCAGAGGAAGCATTAGAAAACTCTGGAGCCATGACAGCCAGCCTCAGTGAGCTGTTCTCAGTGTTTCTGGGGAATTACATCTTTCTATGTGAGCAAATGCTTCACAGTTGTAGTTACCATAAATTATGTGATAGTATCTGTACATGCCCTAACGCATTATAAGCACTGAGTAAAGAAAATGAGGTGTACTGAGGTAGTAGCTGTTATTCAGAATAGCTTCTAACAGAAGTATCAGTATTAGTCCATTTCACTCTGTGATGTTACTGATGCTTGTACTTTTCTCCCTAGCTTATGTATTTTTTGTGGTGAAAGGGACGAATCCTTCACAGAGGAAGGCTTGGATCTCCATTACTGGAAGCACTGCTGTATGTTAACCAGATGTGAGCACTGCAAACAGGTTAGGCATAAACTTTCTGGAGCTACTACAAGACATTAACTGTTGTTATTCTGGTTTTAAGGTGCTATATGATATATTTAGTGCTAAGGCAGACAAATGCTGAACACAAGTGTGATCTTGGGTAGCGCTTTTTGAATAGAGCAGCATTATAAATTGTATTAATGGACTAAAATTTCATTTTCCCTGTGCCATTTTGGAAAGTGCGATGTAACTTCCAAAAATCACATAAGCAGAGTTTTAAATACTCTTCTTTTACTCAGCACAGCACAAGGCTCACTGGGTGCCTCTTGCTCTATTGCAGGTGGTGGAAATACCCAGCCTGACAGAGCACTTGTTGACTGATTGTGATAAAAAGGACAGTTTTGGGAAATGCCAACAGTGTGGTGAAGCCCTTCCAAAAGATGAGTTGCCCAAACATATTAAGAGCAAGACTTGCAATTGTGAGTAGGTTTAAACAGGAGGATTGAACTTCAAACGTCAAGCAAAAGGATTAAGCCCCGTTGTTCCTTTTGATCTTGTTTCAGTGTAGGTGATTAAACATGGGACTTTGAGAGCAGTTAATGATAAAAGGGGTGGAGCTGGTTTAGCCATGGAGTAGTTTTACGCTCTTTGTTGTGCAACTTCTCCTTTTGTATTTGAACTTAGCCTGTCTTTGCAATTCTTGCACTCTTTTTCTCATCATTTCAGCTGCCAAGCCAGAACACGTGGCAAACCATTGCCCACTGTGCCATGACAACTTTCCTCCAGGAGAGGAGGTAAGATGCCTTCCAGACTGCTCTGATGTTATGGCACTGGGACTGAATTCATGTCCTCTTCTAACACTGCCTTATACCAATGACTTCAGAACTGTTCCCTGTTATTGCCTAATTCTGGGAAATCTCTGGCACATCTAAAATGTGCTTTCAGCAGCTGAAGATACCTATTGGTATCATATCAAGATTTGCATAGCTTAATTTCTATTTCACTTAGTCATAAGATGCTTTTATGAGTGAGCAGATTCAAATGCTGTCACAAAAAGGTCTGTTCACAACCCTGTTTTTCCTCATGGTTTCAGCATCTATGTGCATACATAGTGACTACCTGAGAGCTTGGCTGATTTTGCTGGTGTTGTAGTATCACTTCTTTTTTATTGACTTCAGGGCTGGAAATCTCACTTGATGGGCTGTAAAATGAATCAGCGGAGGCTCTCCATCTTAAATAAAACTCTTCTGGTGCAGCCTGGTAAGATACTGTTTTATGATAATAATGGTTATGCTTTTTACTGTGTTCCTTTTACTTAAGAGGAGTGTTTCATCCTTGAGAGCAGACTCTGCTACTCGTTCAACTCAGTTTTTTACATAACCTAACCTAACCTAACTACAGCATACACAGGGAGCAAACTCTCAAAATCATTCCATAACAATCCTGTTTCAAACCAAGGCATTAGCTCAGTTGGTTGGGAAGCTGGTGTATTTGATCAGTCTGGGGCTTTTTCTGCATGACAGTACAAGTGTGAATAGAACAACCAGTGTGATAGGAAACAGTTAACATTCTGGCAAGCTCCTGAACGCTGACACAGAGAACTGAGAGCCCAATTTAGCTTGTAATGTCCAATCAGAGGATGCTAATCTAATCCTAATTATGAGATGAATTGAATAGTTAGTGCTGTGTACTGCTTTTCCTTTGCCATTCAGACCCAGGAGCTAGGCAGAATCTATGATGTGCAGCGTCTTCACCAACAGAGAGAAATTGATGCTGATGTCAGGTGGCTTTTTTTAACCTTCGTCTATATTTATGAAGCAAAATCCTTTTCTTTCCTGGACACAGAAGTTAAAAAAGCTATTTTCCCTGCCTGCAGCACTAAAACTCTCTTGGTCAGTAACATCCAGAGCCTTTCCTCCTTCACACTTTTCTCAGAGCTCTTTAGTCCTCTGCATGTTCAGGTCATTGCTGGAGTTAATCTCTGTGTCTGGTATTTGCTTTGCTCATACCTGCATTTTACAGCTACTCCAGCATCCTGGACATAACCTTCTCAGCTCTGCTAAGTGAATGTCTGTCCATCTGTCTTCTATTTGCCTGTGAGAATGCTAGTTAGTTTGCTGCTGCTTAGAATTTGGATACACAGAAGGAACTTAAATCCTGGCTGGATACAGCTAAAGCTCCAGGGTGATTTCCTAGAGATAGGAAAGGAACGCTGACCATTGTCCTGTGAGACGCACCTCAGACTGGATGCCCACCAAGTTTTAGTTGCCAGTATCAGTCATTCAGACCTCATAGTTCTTGAGAATCAAAATGGTAGATAAAATTCAAGGCTGGGACCAGATGTCCTTGCAATAACGACCTGTATTTTCTCTTCACAGGCAAAATGGGTGGCCAGTGTTTGAGGAAACCAGGTCCTCCAGGAGCAAAAGCTCGATCACCCTCTGTAGGAAGCAAGATCCCAATCCCAAGAGGGAGCCCAAATAAAATCAGTGGCAAAACATACACAAAGCGATGACAGGACAAGTATTTTTTCCTTTGGCTTACAGTAGGTATTTAAAAGGTGTGGGAAATTCAGATCATCTTATTTGTTTGACTCCACGGGCCTGCTGAGCAGCACTTGCCAGCCTGATACCCACAGCACTGTGTCAGCTGCCTGTGCAGCAGTGGCTTTCTCCTAGAAATGCTTCCACTGGAAACACACAGATATTTGGGGATGGATCCAGCCTGCCACATTCCCTAATGGAACAAAGCAGGCCAGGCATTGCTCGTCGGTTCCTCATAGGACACCGTCTCCCTGATGAGAGTGGTGGTAACACACTTTGCTCTTGTTTCTAACACCAGTGTCTGTAATTTGATGAGTTCAGGCATATTGTTAATGTCAAGAATTAGCACCAAAGGAAAAAGCCAAAGGGCTGGTTGGATATTGCCATATGACCCGCCACCACATGAACATGAAGTGGCTGATCTCTGTGGCCACTTGCTGCACACCAAGTGCCTTAGGCCTTTTGACCACAGGGTTAAGTTCAACCCTAAGCGTGCCCTTTGGTTCATGAGAGTGGCCCCACAGAGCTACTGTAGCAATCAAAGTCATTCTTTATAACCTCCCAGCTCATTCCAAAATATACCCCAAGAAATGGCCCCTCAAAGAAAAGAAAACCTTAGTGGGGCCTTGGAAAGCCTGACTTTACCATTTCGACCTTTTTTCCTGCTTTAGTGTGCTCGCTCGCTTCTAAATCCAGAATTATATCCAGATAATCCTAAATGCTGAGTTTCTCCAGTTAGATCTTGATTAAAATAAGCATCTGTAGGATACAGCATGTGACCATTTAACAGCTTTGCAGAGAACAGATTCTGCTCAGGCACAATGTGTGGAGCTTCATCCCTAAAGCAACCACCCCGATGTTTCAACCTGTAACACTTAGGCCAGAGCTTTCCAAGGCAGAATTCAGTGGTGGTCTGTGTCAGCACAGGTACAAGGATGGGTGAGGATGATGACAGACTTTTGGGGGGTTGGGGTTTTTGCTACCATGGAGTGAATTTTGTATGTTCTGCACTGATTTTGTAATACGCTTGGTTTCTAGTTTGCGGGCAGCCTCTCTGCAAGAGAATGGATGTCACAGGTACATCAGTGTGCTTTTACTTTGGAAACCTTTCTACAGTTTCTTTAACTCTTCCAAAATATATATATCCATAAATATATATATACATATACATGAGAAATATGTATTAACATATATGTGGTTTCATTTCTTCTTTAGTGACACGAGTTCCTATTTGAGAACCTGATTATTCCTTATGCAGGCAAAACACATGTTGATCTTACTTGGGGATCAGCACTTGTGATGGGCTGTGAGCTATGCCCTGAGCACCCTCCCTTTTGGACATCCAACTGTGAGCTTTCCCCTGTGTAGGTCACTGGAAAAGCCCTGTTAGCAAAAGCCTGCTGTGTGTGTTGGGTCGTCCAGGGCACTGTATTATTGGGTCTTGAAGCTGTGGCTGGCCCATCCCTGGCACTGTTCAAGGCCAGGTTGGACACAGGGGTTTGGAGCAAGCTGCTCCAGTGGAAGGGGTCCCTGCCCGTGGCAGGGGTTGGAGCTGGAGGAGCTTTAAGGTCCTTTCAACCCGAACCAGTCTATGATCACCCTGCCTGTCCCAGCGCCTGCTCACTCTTTGTGTCTTCCGCAGTAGGAGAATAAAAGCTGGTGTGAAACACGCAGTGATGCTTATTCCTGTGCTGCAAAGCATCCCAGAGCAGAGACGTTGCACAGGGGCAGGCCTGGCTAGCAAGAGGAAAGTTCTCCAAACTCTCGGACTGGAAAGCTTAAATCAGCAATGGCAGTGACCAGACCGCAGGCCGGAGCTCAAGGCCTTTTCTGTGTATGATCGCTTCCTCCTGCTGTGCCCCACGCCAGCCGGGTGCTTTTCACCCACCCGAGGTGCAGAGGCGAGCCTGGAGCAGCCGTTGCCCCGTGTGCAAGAACCTGGCCGACCCCAAGGCAGGAACGGAGGCACTCTCACGGCTTGGGATGAGTACGGGTGGGGGTTAATCGTTAGCGATGCTCTCGCTCTCTGTAAGGGGACCCCCCTGGGTTAAACCCGCCCCTCCCCGAGCGCGCTCGGAGGCGGCCCCGGACCGGCCCTTTCCGGCGGGGCGAGGCGGGCCCGCTCCGTGGCCCCTCCCCGCGGCACCATGGCGGCGGCGGCGGCGGCGGCGTGGCCGGAGCTGGAGGCGGCGGCGCGGGAGCGGCGGCGGGAGCTGTCCCTGCCGGGCGCGGCGGTGGCGGAGCGGGTGGCGGCGGGCGGGGGGCGGCTCCCGGCGGCGCTGCTGGCGCTGCCGCTGCTGCAGTCGCTGGAGCTGAGCGGGTGCGCGGCGCTGCGGGAGCTGGGCCCGGGGCTGGCCGCGGCCCTGCCCGCCCTGCACACGCTGGTGCTGGCCGGCAACGCGCTGGGCCCCGCCGGGCTGGGCGCGGGGCTGGGCGGGGCGCTGCCGGCCCTGCGCATCCTCGACCTCTCCGGTAACGGCCTGGAGGCGCTGCCCGCGGCGCTGGGCGGGGCTTCGGCGGCAGCGGACGCGGAGCCTCCCGGGGCAGCCCCGGCCTTCCCGCAGCTGCGCAGCCTCAACCTGAGCGGGAACCGGCTGCGGGAGCTGGGCCCGGGGCTGGCCCGCGCCGCCCCGCAGCTGCAGGCGCTGCTGCTCTCCGGGAACCGGCTCCGGGCGCTGCCCGGCGGGCTCCTGCCCCCCCCCGCCGCCGCCGCCGCCGTCCCGGGCGGGCCCTTCCCGCTGCTGAGCCGCCTGGAGGCTGCGGACAACGAGGTGGAGGAGCTGGGCGCTGACATCGCCGTCCTGCCGGCACTGAAGGTGCGAGGGGTACCCGGGGCCCCAGCACTGCCCCCCATCACTGTCTGCTGCAGAGCCCATTGGGTCCCCATCACTGATTGCTCCCATCACTGTCTGCTACAGAGCCCACTGGGTCCCCATCACTGGCCCCCCATCTCTGTCTCTTACATAGGCCACCCGGGTCCCCATCACTGACCCCCCATCTCTGTCTCTTACATAGCCCACCCGGGTCCCCATCACTGCCCCCCCATCTCTGTCTCTTACATAGCCCACCCGGGTCCCCATCACTGGCCCCCCATCTCTGTCTCTTACATAGGCCACCCGGGTCCCCATCACTGACCCCCCCTCTCTGTCTCTTACATAGCCCACCTGGGTCCCCATCACTGACCCCCCATCTCTGTCTCTTACATAGCCCACCCGGGTCCCCATCACTGACCCCCCCCCCCCCATCTCTGTCTCTTCCAGAGTCTGGACGTGGCCAACAACCACCTGCGGGAGCTGCCCTCTGCCCTGGCCGACTGCCCCCGCCTCAAGGAAGCCAACTTCAGGGGGAACCAACTGAAGGACAAGCGGCTGGAGAAGATGGTCAATGGCTGCCAGACAAAAGCCATCCTGGACTACCTGCGGGCCGGGGGCCGCGGGAAGGGAAAGGCTGAGAGCACCAGGGAGGAGGCCAGGAAGAAGAAGAGGGAGAAGCAGCAGAAGAAGGATGGTGGGGACGGGGAGCAGGACGAGGTGGAAGAGGCGAGCAAGCTGCTGGTGAAGGTTCTGCACGTCTCTGAGAACCCGGCGCCCTTGGTGGTCAAAGTGAGCCCGGGTATCAAGGATGTTCGACCCTTCATCGTGTGCTGCGTGCTGCGGGGAGTGAACTTAAAGCCAGGAAATGCTCTGAAGAGGTTCCTGTCCGCACAGGTCAGTGCTGCAGTCCTGTGTTAGGTGAGCTCAGAGGGAGCTGTTCACCCAGGAGCTGGGGAGGGTGCAGCAGCTGCTGCCCGGTCCCTCTGGAATGAGCAGAACTGGTTTTCCTGAGGAACCCAGTAGGAGCTCAGGTGTTACCATGAGAGGGAGATGAGCGCACACGCAAGTGCATTTGCTCTGTCACAGCAGCTTGTTGTTGAGAGCTATTAATGAACCCACATCCACATTAGAAGTACTTGGTTTGGCTCCAGGTTCCCTGATCTATGCTGAAACCAACAGTACGGTAATCACAGCCTGTCACCCCTGATTTATGGCCTGCACAGCCATTAGGTGGCAGAGGTTAGGTGGTTTCAGATTACAAGACTCTCTATTTGTGATGGTTTTCTGATTTAAAACCATTTGTTTCCTAGTTGAGAGATATGTCATGGGTTACGCTCCCTGTCTTTACATTTCAGTTGCAATTCAGGTAAAATTACTATGCAGAAAGGCTCTATTTAATGCAAAAGAGTTACTTGAGTAGCTACAAACACGACATACAGAAGGATCTGTGGAGAGTAATTCTAAGAAATCAAGTGGATGTTTTGGCTCTGCTTTGATAGGTTTCTTTCTGTTTCAGACTAAACTGCATGAAGACATCTGTGAAAAGCGGACACTGGCCACTATTGCCACCCATGACCTGCAGCTGGTCAAAGCTCCTCTGATGTATGATGTTCAACCTCCTGACACGCTGAAGGTAGGGCCCGTAGCATCCATGGGCCTTTCCACTTGGTTCCCTTTTGTCTTCTGGAAAGGTACAGAATGGAATTAGTGCTAGCAAATGATTTTCCAGTGGGTGTTGCAGCTCACACAAAGGTTTAAACTCAGTTATTGTCTTGCTTACAGGAGTTTGAATAACCCCTGTGACTGAGCGGCTCTTAAATTCAGGTGTTTGTTCTGCACGGTGTAGGTAACACCTCTGGGTCGAAAGGAGATCAAGGCAAAGGATCTTCTCCGCCAGCTGCAGCTTGAAGCTGAGGAGCAGAGGAAGCAGAAGAAGCGTCAGAATGTCTCTGGATTGCATAGGTCAGTGTGTGACATCCGGTGGCTTTCCTCAGCTGTATCACCGTGATACACCTTTACTGAGTTTCCATGTTCTGACTCCTGGCTTTGCTCCGTGGTGGACCAGGAGCACCCTCATTTGCTGTTGTCACACCCTTGTGCCACTGCATCCTGCTGCTGGTTCAATTGCTCACTCTTTGCTGCTTTACTTTTCCTGGCAGGTATCTCCAGTTACTGGATGGCAAAGACAACTACCCCTGTCTGGTGGATGCTGAAGGCGTCGTGATTTCTTTCCCACCCATAACCAACAGCGAGAAGACAAAGGTACTCTGTTGGTGGAAATCTGTTAACCAGAATTAAAGTGAGGGTTTTTTTTCCTCTGGGATTGAAGTCCACATTCAGAGATAGGCCCAAATCTGTGACAGTTGTGATTGCATTCCACATACATATCTCCAAACCTGGGTCTTGCCTGCTAGGTGGTCAGATTGAGCTGGATCTGGGAGTGCCATTTCCACCTTTGCTGATGTGGCAGCCTCTGGCCAGAGCTCTGTTCCAAAGGCACCGCCTGCCTTTGCAGGGATGGCTTTATTGAAGGGCAGGAGTATGGTGTTTGACTTGTAAGGCAAGGCAGCACTTTGTCTCCAGCTGCACTGAATGAACATCTTCTGTTCAGTTAGTGCACGAAGTGTTGCCAAGTGACTGTGGGCGAGTGTGCTCCCATCCTCACTGGCTTTACCTGTGAAATCCTTCCAGATCAGGAAAGACACCCGGGATCTGTTTCTGGAGGTGACAAGTGATACCAGCTTACAGATATGCAAAGATGTCATGGACACACTCATTCTGGTAAGTAGCTCAGGAAATAATCCTGTCTGTTCTCGACAGAATGTGTAGTGCCCACGTGCATTGAGGAGAACACAGAAGCTGATTTTTAGTTTAGTAGTAGTAGTATGCCCTCTCCTTCGCTTGCTCTCCCATCCTGGCTTCCATGCCTGCACCCTTCCATCTCCACATCACACAGGGTTTTCATATTCTTATATCCTGATTCCCTGGCAGACCTCAGAACTCACCCAGGTAAATAACACTGCGTTACCACAATTAGAAATGTAGGGTTTGTCTTTGAACACCTTCTCTTCTTAGTGCTCTTATGGCTTCAGTTGCTGCCAGCAAATTCTGTTGGAAGCAGCCTGGCGTTGCTCTCAGCCACAGAATTAATCTTGTTTTCTGTATTTCGCTTTTAACAGAAAATTGCAGAACTGAACAGATCTACATTGGAAAACAAGGAAGACTCGGGCTCGGATAACGAATCTGATGCTCTTTGTGGACCAGCAGCTTTGAATCCCAGCCAGAATGCTCAGCCGATGCTTGTGGAGCAGGTTCGAGTGGTGGACACAGATGGAAACTTGAAAGTACTTTATCCTTCAAAAACTGACCTAAGCACAGTGTCCTCTCTCCTCACTGTAATACGTTAGCAGCTATCAGAGCTCATAGAATGATTCCGTTTCCTTTCCTTTTTGCCATATTCAACAATGCAGCTTGTATGCACTGAGGTGGTTTGGGTTTGTAAGGACAAGATGCGGTGCATCCCGCCTGCTACTGTCACGTTTGATAGGCTGTGGCACGCAGGGTTGTGTTCTTCAGCCTTAATAGAAAGCCATCAGTGTTCTGACTAGGTAGGGAGAACTGAAAGGCAGAGAAGAAGCTGGAAGTCAGAATGTGTTCACTTGTAGAGAAAACCATTGTGTCTTAGCATCTGTAATGTGAATGCAGTCGTGTTTTTCTGCTGGATCTCTGCTTCTTCCTGGTGCGTTTCAGCTGGGTTATTATTTTGGCAGCTGAACTGAGAAGTCAGTCGGTGACAGCATTGAAACAGCCACGTGCTGCACGCCCGTACCGAGGATGGGATGCCAAACGGCTTTGCTAACATCTCATTCAGTGTGATTTTCTATCTGGAGTAATTGTGACAATGTAATTGCTGTCAGAACTCGAGGAGTGAGTTTTAAAGTGATGGTTTCTGTGTTCAGACATTAACACAGCTTCCATTTCCAAGCCAAGTCAGTTGAATTGAGTGCAGGGATTTGTGTGTCTCAGTGCACTGCAGAGCCATCGCCCGTCCCTGTGGAAGCACCGGTTGTAGTGACCCTGTTGCATACCCATTGAGTTACTGTTGATGGAGCACTGAATTCATTCGTGCTTGTGAAGTTCATTTACACTCAGAGGGCTGATGCTGCTTAGTGTTGACACTACTAAAGCTCTTTGTCTCCCCAGAGTACAAGTACTTGTGCCCAGAGTGCTTTCTCCCACACTTCCATGTGAAGAGTGTTGGCGCACAGGTAGTTGGTTGGAGTGGGTAGCAGCTACATCCAGGCTACCACCTTATGAGTGCAAACCTCTTCATAAGCAATGGTGACCTAGAGATGGAGTTTTGTGCTGTTGAAAGTGATGCTCCAGAGCTCTAACTGAACTTGGAGATACTGTGTCAAATACATCCATGTGTTGGGACTCGCTTATGAATAGGAAAATAAACCAGTTCTTACAGTCATGTCACTGTCATGTGTTTGGACACTGATGGATTTTGGCACTGGTGAGTTTTCTAATCATGTAACCATACAACCTTGCCCAAGCAGCTATTGAACACTGCAAAAATGAGAACTCGGTGCTTTCTAGCTGTAGGCAAGCAGTCCTTAGTAGTGCTTTGAGCTTCCCTGTGAAGTTGAGCATTTCTACACACCAGTGTTTTACAGTGATTTGTGGTGTGAGTTGGTTGACACAACTGAATGAGGGATTCCTGCAGGACTTGGTTTCAGGAGGATGAGTTTAATTTGTTAGTATGTCCACCTCAAACCCAGGGAGCAGGAGCCTGACGTTGGTGATGTGCTCTGCTCAGCCATCAGGGCTTCTTTTCGGGGGTGATAGGCTGCTGCCTTGCATTACCCCTTCTCCTTCCCTTACTAGTAGGTGATGCAGCAGTGTCGGTGCCGTGGAGCGGTGGGACTCTGATGCCTTTCTGTTTGAGCATCTGATGGAACTCGATCCGGTCGTTAATGATTTTCTGCAAATGAGGGGTGTGTAAAGAGGTGGGGATGCACTGGGTGGAGAGCAGCACTGCAGCGGTCTCTTACCTCATCAGGCCCTTGCTGGAAGCAGAGTTCCCATGAACCACGTACCTGCATTGCCTCCAGCACCTCCTCGTCCGTGATCTCTGCCTGCGGAGGCTTGATGCCTGCTGTGCTGAATGTAGCCTGGATTATTTTGTTTCGATACTTTTCAAACTGTTGATGAAAGGTGAGAATAGATGTGCTTAGTGTGTGTATAGAGTTCTTTGGTGTTCACAGGGATTCACAGAGACTACGCTGTTGGACTTGGGCACAGTGCTAGTGAAGGGTGAAATGAAAGACCTGTTTGTGTGAAGTTACAGGTGGTTTGACTGGGCTTTGCTGCAAGTGCTGTGATAATGATGTGTTTTGGGGTGGACTGAGTCCCTCACCCAGGTATTGGGCTCTGTGCTTGCCACCCTGTGCCTCCCTGAAGTGGCTTCAAGGTATTACCTTTTACTTTGAATCTGGAAGGCTATTAGAAACCTGGTGATGTAACTGTTCTGAACTCGAGTTTCTCAAGGGCTTCTGGTATTGGAGGCCTGTTTGCTTTGTAAGTGATGTAGGAGTTGCATGCTACAAAGCTGGGAAGGAAATGGCTGAGTTTCCTGCTCCTCTGGCCCTGTGGCCCTGTGGCTGTGGAGGGCAGCCAGGACTGCAGTGTCCTGGTGCATCTCCTGCTGTGCTTCTGCCCAGGAGTAATGCCTATGTGCTCTCATGTTCTTTGCTTGGGAGGGAGGGAGGGAGGGAGGATGCTGACACGGAGGCCGCGTTACCTTGCTGGTGATGAGTTCCAGCGCCACGCGCGTTTGCAGCTCCTTCTGCTGCAGTGCCTTAACCTCCCTTTGGGCTGCCTCCTGCTGCCGCTGCTGCTTGTGGATGTGGTACCGGTGGGAGCGCGCCTCTGCCTGCAGCTGCCTGACGGTCTCCTGTAGCTCACTGATGAGCTTGTTCTGCACGGCCAGCTTGGATTCTTGTTCTGTGAGGACCTGAAGAGATCCAGAAACCAAGCCCGGATTGGGAGGAAGGAACAAGCAGGCTTGGCTGCATCTTCCCTGTGTCTGGTCCAAACGCTGCTTCTATCTCCTGGGCAGCAGACTGACAGCCTTGGCAGCACCGGTGGCTGCTGTTACTTCTGGACTGAGTAGGGGTTTTAAGTGGCAAACTCCCCCCGAGCCTGAAAGAAGCACAGCTAAGCAGCTAGTACAAGCATTCCCTATAGCAGCTTTGCACCGAGTTTACCTGTCGGAGGCTGCGGTTCTCCTCCTCCATTGTCACCATCAGTTCTTCACATTTCTGTTCTCTCAGACTGCAAAACTCAAGAAGAAGTTATTTTACCCTTCACTTTCACAGCTCACGGGTGCACCTCCTGTCTGTGAGGAGGGGAGCTGCAGCCTGAGGCCTGAATCCCTGAGGATGGGCACCTTGCCCTCGGGTGGTACCTTGGCAGACATGTCTTGTAAGTGGCTTGCTTGCTTTCTGAGCTGCTTTTGGAGCATTTCGGTTTCAGATCTGGTTCTCCGGAGCTGGGACTCTTTGATCTCCAGTTGTCTTTGCAAGGAGGAGATTGTTCCTGTAGGGTTGGAGAAGGACTCTTAAACAAACCGAATCCCTGCCCATAGCTGCACGGCTCCTTCCTTCAGGTAAGCACACACAGAGCTGCAGCTGTGACCGTCTCAGTGTGGAAAGGGTGAAGTTAATGCTGCAGCTGCGGTGATGCTGGTTGGTGATGCATTCTGCAGTACTTTGGTATCTGTTAAACTAATCTTGTTGTGTGCTGCTCTGGGAGCTACTAGAGCTGGTAACTGGCCTGCCAGCATGCAGAGGTGCTGCCGGATGCCCCAGGATGGTGCTTGGGACCCTCCTGGCTGGGTTTTATTGGGTGAGGAGGGGGAAACTGAGTGGTTTTGATGCAGGTGGCCTTCAAGTCAGCTTTGTGCTGGTGAGAGCCTGGCCTGGGACTAGCTCTCAGAGCAGAGCGGTGTGAGGATGAAGGCAGGGTGCGGGTGTGCTCTGGATGCCTGCCCGGTACCTGTGGCCATGTTGTAGTCATCCCTTGCCCTCCGCAGCTCGTCACGGAGCTCCTGCTCGGTGATGGGCTCAGCCGGCTCCCGCCAGCCCCCGCTGCCCCTCACCGCTCCCTCGGGGGCTGCGGCCGCCTCCATCCCGAGGGGCTGGGGCCGGGGCCGGGGTGCAGGGCCCCGGGGCTCTGTGGTGCCGGCACCGCCGCAGCGGCCGCGTCCTGCCCCGGTGCTGCCTGGCAACGGCAGCGGGGCCGCGCCTTCCGCTTCCGGGGCTGCGCCATGGGCGGGGGGAGAGGAGGGTGCCGGGCCGCATGGCTGAGTTCTGAGGGCCGGCAGTGCAGCAGCAGGGCCGGGGAGCGGGGCTGTGGGGATGGAGGCTCCGAACTGCACATCCCTGCGGCTGCACCGCTACCGCCTCCTTGAGCATCTCCTCCAGCCGCTGCTATGGCAACCGCTGCCGGCTCCGGTGAGTGCTGGCACCGTGGCACCTCTCAGTGGGGATCGCAGAGCTTCATCCCAAACCCTCTTGTCTCGCCCCACTGCGCAGGTCCTGATGTTGCCACCCTGCAGCGCGATGAGCCCATGCTGCTTGCCCATCCTCACCAGCACCAGCTACAGCATGGTTCCCTCTCTGCCTTCCTACCACAGGCTGCTGGTTCCCCACCATCATCTTGCCGACAGCTCCCCCATGAGCATGGACACCCTCAGGGAAGACTCAGTGGTCTCCACGGGTCACCACTTGGTGCTTGCCACCTTCTACGTGAGGGCTGCCACTGCCTCAAAGCAGGCTGGACAGAGGGGCTGCACTTGTAGCCTCCTTGAGGCTGGACCTCAGCTGAGGTTTTGGCAGCACTCAACTGAATGTAACCTTGTACATAGAGCTCGAGGCCATGGCATTTTCTTTACAGTCTTTATTTTTGTTGCATTTTCCTGTTTGCTTTTAGTATTAGTTTCTATGGGGACCGTCTTTATCAATCTCAGTGCAGTTCAGAGATGTCTGTTCACTGGGGGAGGGTTAAGTGTAGAGCCCTTAACACCCGGTTTTGCTTCTTCCAGGTGGAACTCTTTACAATGCTGCCATGCACAGCATGGATGCTGTTTGCTCTTCACCCCTCTTTTCACTGGCGTGCAGGTAGGAATCAATCTTGTGATTGTTTACTGTGGACCTGTGCACTTTATACTGCAGCTGGGAAGAGCGAGTGTGTGAGAGCCACGGTAGCCATGACAAGTGTTCCATCATGGGCCAGTGGAAACAGAAACCGAGTTTCTCAAGAGGTTGTAGATGGGGTCTTGGTTTCTGAACTCTCAGTTCCCCACCATTATTAATGGCTTCTGTGGGGAGTTACAGAACTTGGCCCATTTAGAGAAGGTTCTCTCTGAGCAGCAACAGTGCTCAAGGCCAGGTTGGACACAGGGGCTTGGAGCAAGCTGCTCCAGTGGAAGGGGTCCCTGCCCGTGGCAGGGGTTGGAGCTGGAGGAGCTTTAAGGTCCCTTCCAACCCAAACCATTCCATGGTTCTTATTTCCCTGGCACTTCCCTGTTGATCTCAGCCCAGTTAAAGATGTGGATGTACTGAGCTTTGTGCCAAGCTGACACGCTCCGGGTTTCCAGACTAATTTAAACCAACCGTAAACCTGGAAGCTGCTGGATTTTAAATGGAAATGCAAAGTTTTAATGAAGGTAATTGCAGCTGCTGTTGTTAGAGAAGGTGCAGTGTGCAGTATTCTAATGTGTGGTAACGCCTTGATATGCAAGGAGCAGAATGCCCCTGGGAGGATGTGGAACCATCTGCCTCATGCCAGCTACGTGCTGGAAGCTGCCTGCTTGTGTCTCTAATAAGCTCCAAAGGTAGCTGTTGTGGCTGTTCCTCACACACCACTTCCCAAAAGCTTTCGAAAGCCGTTTCTGTTGTATTAAAATCAGGTTCTTGCCTCGAGTGTTAGTTTGTAAATGACACTTCTGGCTCTCGGGATTCTGCAGTTCAATCAGTTCCCAGCTCCTACAGATGGAATACATATTCCTAGAGCTAGAAAGAGGGTTGACGTCTATAACTAAAGCCAATTTGCTCCTGGGAATTGCTTTTAACAGTGTAATTCTTCCAACTCAAAGCTGTGTCTTAAGGATGAAGATTGCTGCAGCTCCCAGCTTTGTGGTGGTTGGATGAAGCAAAGCAGGTTGAGGCCCTTTGAGGTTTGCACTGGTTTAGGAAGACCCTTTCCTTATCATAGAAGCAAGACTTTGGTTGCCAGATGCTGTAATTCCCACGTGTGCTTTTATTGTGTTACCAAACAGACAAAGAGGGAAACCACAGCTCCAACTCGTTTCCAGAGATGCCCTTCCTGCCGTGGTGGGAGCGTGTGCTGGGATGCTGCTGGGAGAAGCCTCGGTTAACATCGGGAACACGAGTGATTGTTTCAGACCCCTTAAAGCATTAAAGTGCTTTCATCGGCTGTTCCCACAGGACACAGGCTCCTGCTGGTTTTCCTCATGATCCTCCCTTCGTGTGTGGATAGAGCTTCCCCATGGGGAGGGGAAGACGCATCCGAGGTGAGCCCGGAATGCCGTAAATGGAACTTGAGCTCTGTCCCTTTACAGACTGGAGGAGCCAGGGCTTTGTGAAGGGTCTCCCAGCTCCTTCCCAACCGGGGGCAGATGGGATGGAGCTGGAGCTCTGCCTACTGGTGGCCTCCACCCCCAAGGCAGCGCAGGGAGGGGATGCTGCAGTGGGGATGTGCTGGGCAGCGTTGTGCCCGCATGGATTCCCTCAGGCCACCTGGAATGTTGAGGGACCCCGGGGGGCAGATGCTCCTGTGCCTGTTGTGGGACATTGCCTGTTGTGGGACATTGCCTGTTGAAATGGGCAGGGAGGGAAGGAGGGAATGGGGGAACACTGACTGTGGAATACATGAGGCCGGAGACACGATCTTCTGCATGTTTACATGCTAGAACATGGAATTAATTTACTTGACACTCGAGTGTCTCAGGAGTAAGTATCAATTTTTATAGCTTACATGAAAATAAATCTTTTCTCCTTAGAGCACGATGAGGGTTCGTATGTACAGTCGCTTCTGTTTATATACACCAATAGTTAAGTACATGAACACATCGGGGAGCAAACAGGGTTGGCTCTACAAAGAACTGAAGGGGATGGGGACTTCCTGGCAGTCCGTTGGGAAAGCAGAGCGGGTGCATCCCGCTGACAAGTGTGCAGAACAGGGGACGGGGCAGGGCTGAGTCCTTGGACAACAATGACAACCTCTGAGTTCTGGACACCACGGAGAGCACAGAACGGGGGCAAGCGGTGCCAAAGGCTGGTCTTCCAAAGAGGACAGCAGTGCCACATCCACCACTGTGGGGCTGCTGCGGTAAGACCCATGGTGCCTCCTCTCCGTGCTCCATCCTGCGACAGCATCAGCCGCCCTCCTCATCACCTCCACCGAAGCCAGCACCGCATGGGGCCGTGCTGTGGCACAGGGATGCAGTTCCCCTCCAGACACCACCGTCACACTGTTCCAGCCGCCCAAGGCGGATAATGTCTTTCACAGCGGGGTTCACCCCCCCCGCCCCGGGTCTCTGGCTCGCGGGAGCCCCTCAGTTGATCTCCCCCTCCGTGAACTCCTCCTTTATGGACTGTTTGCGGGATTTGCAGTCGGGGAGGTCGAAGCCGAAGTCTGCCCAGTCGTCGGCAGCGCCGCGGTTGGGGATGGTGATGGTGTGGCGCACGCGGAAGTGCACGGCCTCCATCACCCGCTGCCGCTGCAGCTCCCCCGAGCTGCCGATGGAGATGGTGGAGGCGTTGCTGCTGGAGCGCAGGAGCTGCTGTGCTCCGTAGTCGTGGCTCTGCTTGAGCTCCTGCAGCCCTCGCCAGATGACCATGCGGTACTGCTCCGGGATCTTCAGTGCTCCGAGGTCCTGCAGGGACAACAGCACTGAGAGATGGGGCTGCACCCATGGGAGGGAGGCCCGGACACCCCAGCTTGTGCTTATGGGGGTGTGTGGTCCCAATGCCCCCAGTGACCGTGGTGGTGGGGCTGGACCCCCTGTGGTCATGGCAAGCCCATGGCACATCCCCTCAGAGGCAATTTCTCATGTAACCGGTGGCCACACAATCTTTGCATTGGGGGTGGCTTCACATTGAACTGATGTGAAATGGGAGGGATGGGACCTCTCCTTCGGACCAGGCTGCAGAGCAGGATGTGAAGCATCCTCCTGCCTGCTCACATGGGTTTCATTCTCCTCTGGTCCTGGACCAGGAGGCTGGAGCAGCCCCTACCCAGGTCGTGCCCCAGTACAGAGTTAGCAGCCAGTGCTTAGGAGGCCATGGGCTGAGCTCGTAAAGCCAAGCGAGGTCCATAGCCTCAGGCCCTGCACCACAACGAGCACAGTCAGAGCAAAGAGCTGCCAGAGATCCAGGTTAATGCCAAACACAGAGACTCAGGGGAGCGTTAACTGCAGGAGACAGTGAGGATGTGATTAGTAACTGCAAACACCGCTCGGACGCACGCTCTGGCACAGGCTTTGGCCATACCCAGCGTTTCCTTGCGCAGCTTACAGACTCCATGGGGTTAGTTCAGAGAAGGGTCCCAAACCAGGCTAAGGTCACACCACTGGCCCCAGCTACTAATGGAAAATCATTGGGTCTTGTATGGCCCCATGTCCCATCACTCTGTCTGCCTGCTGCGGGGGGCAAATGGGATGGGGCAGGAGCTTCATTCCAGCCCAAACACCAACACTGGGTTTATGGGGCTTGCTGTGCCTCAAAGGGTTGCAGGTTCTTAGGGTTTTTCGCTTCTTGTTGCCCTGATGGGGCTGTCAGCACCAAGAGGCTGAGGCTGTGCAAGCTCAGGCACCTTTAGCATCCCATCTGCTGTTTTCATAGCAGCTTTTGCCTGACCTGGGCTATTGCATTCCAGGGCTCCCATCATATGGATGCCCTGGGCTTGACTCCCTTGTTTCATCTCCTCTTGACTTAAGGATGAAGAGGGGAAGGTGCAGGATCGGATCAGATTTAAAACGTGGCTCAATGGGCTTTGTGCTGAGCACCTCAGCCTTCTCCTGTGTTAGGGGAAGATCCACCTGGGCTCTGCTCTGGGGACCTTTCTTGCTTCTGAGAGTGCAGACCAATTGTGGCTGCTCCCAAGGACGGAGCTACCACTGAACCCAAAGGATGTGTGACTGGAAGGGGTAAATCCGGGGCATAAACGCTGTGAGCACATTGGTGCCCAGGTCTCCCTTTCCTTTCGAAGGGATTTCAGACCAGCAGCCGACAGAAACAAGTGGTAAGAACAGATCTCCCCGAAGCATTTACCTCTATGGATAGGTTCTGCAGGTGGTAAATGTTCTGTAAGCCCTGGGAGGTGAAATAGTCGATGCAGTTTGGACACCCCAATCCTGTTAAAAAACTGC